AACAAAAATCATATTTATAATTATACTAATAATATTGATAATAATAATAATAATATAAACAATCATAATTAAGGTAATAACATGATACAAACGATGATTATACAACAACTGCAACAACTACAATAATAATCGTGATAATAACAATCATCACCATAATACTCATCGTCATCATTAGTCAACAATGGTAAAAATGGTTATTGCAAGTAAGAGAAAACATGACGCATTTTGTTTGTAATTCTCTAACTACAAAGTTCCCACTAACTTTACCTGGGTAGACAGTGGCGAATGAAAATATATATCTTGCCAAAGAACATTACCTGGGGTAATGCAGGGGTAGGAGCTGCACCCCCCGTCCTCACCCCCATTCCTCTCTCTCTCTCTCTCTGTTCTCGTCGTCATCCTTCTCCTCCTTCTTGAATGAAATTCCTAATTTAAGTATTCGTCACCTCATATTCGGGAAGCAATATGGTAATCATGTTTTCATGTAAATATAAATTTGACATTTACATCTAAAAAAAAAGTGGATTCTAAAAACAGTGTTTACTTTTAAACGTGATTACCTAATCTTTTTAGTTGTAATCTTTGATTTAGTATCTTTTCTTATTTTTTGTCAACATATTAGGTCCGTTTGTAACACTTGTTTTGCCGAAGATCAACCATCGTTTTGTCGCTATGTTAGGTGGAGGGTTGTGTGGATTATGTATAATTGCCAGCGCTTTCTTCAAAAACTCAGTTGCCGTTGGAATCTTTCTCGCTTCATCAGGTAAGCTAAATATTTGTAACTTAGCTACGTAATCGAAAATATCAAAATGTAGCTTATTTTGTGCCCTGCATAGTAGGTATATGCGTACAATTTTGTGCATTCGATTAAGAGTTATATTGAGAGATAAGAGGGAAACTTCGATTTCTTTAGATTGACTAATTGGAACTATTGTTAATCTCTGTTATACAATGAAATCTCAACAGTATTTGTTGCCTTTTGATCATGTATTTGATTATCATATCGCCAGTTATATATATTCATAAATATTCCGAGCTACTACTTTCTTTCAATTATATGTATACATATTCTAAACAACTGACAGCGTTTTAAAATATAACAACTAGTGATTTGGAGGTAATTTTTGCACTTGTCCCCCCCCCCCAAAAAAAACAACCAAAAACGTGGAGGGGGGGGGGGGGGGGGCAAAACGCATTTTTGTCCCCCAACAACAAAAAAAGCCTCCCTCCCCCAAAAAAAACAACAACAAAAAAACAAAACAAAACAAAAGGAGTAAAGATGGCTTGTATTTTTGACTAAAAAGAACCAAAAAAAAAAAAAAACACCCTGAATTGAATCATATAATATATTCCATTCAAAGAAAATGAAAGTTAACAGGAATTGAATTTCCTAAACATTCCGCATGCCACATATTTTTATCAAAAAAGGTTTTGATAAAAGCGATACGCGCATATCGTGGAAATATTGTGAGAGGATGGGAAAGCGTGTGTGTTTTTTACCATAGCGGTGACAAGACATGAGCCTCTGAAAGCTGGCGTACTGATTAGGGGGGGGGGGGGGCGATTTCTAATTCGATACTAGTGATTTAGAAAATTTACAAATTTTGCTGAAATGACATGATTTTCCGATATTTGTATGCATTTGTTGGAAAATTTGAAATTCCCAAATTTACAGTCGGGCGAAAAATATGCGAATTTAGAAGCCTTCATATCCCCCATTTGGCTCAACCCCCCCCCCCCCCTCACTTATTGAAAAAATATGTTACAGAGAAAAAGAAAGAAAGAGAAAGAGAAACAATAAGTGACCTGCCAATGTCACAAATGAGGTATCAAAATATGCTCATCTGACCGTAATTAAATGCCTAAAACCCCTGAGCTTGCGGGGGCTACGCCCCCTCGACCCTAAAATGGCTCTAAGTGGGCCCCTGGATGCTCATCTGACCGTAATTTAATATCTAAAACCTCTGAGTTTCCGGGGGATCTGCCCCCTGGACCCAATCAAGGGTCCTAAAGAAGGCCCCTGGATGTTTATCTGACCTTTATTAAATATTTAAAAACCCGAACTTCCGGGGGCTCTGCCTCCTGGACCCCCCCCCCCGCCAATTAGTGACCTGCCAATGTCACAAATAAGGTATCTAAATATGCTTATCTGACCGTAATTGAATGCCTAAAATACCTGAGCTCCTGAGGGCTTAGCCCCTTGACACCCTGCCGGGGCTCAGGCCCTAGACCCCACGCAAATTTACGCTTGCTCCGCTATTCCTAATCGTTAATACTCCACTTTGAAAAACGTTCCGTGGGGCCTGCATGTAACATGTAAGAGTAGTGGTGATGTTAATTTTGTTCTCCTCCCCCCCCCCCCCCCCCACTTCCAAAAGTTTTTGCTCATTATACGCCACTGACCCTGGAAGGTGGGCCCCCTGGCATGTTTGCCCCTCCCCCACTCCCAAACTGCTTCTGGCGCGCCTGGTTGTAGCAGTATCATTACTACAAGACAAGACTCTGACTTGAGAGCAGCATTGAATGTAAGCTGAAAGGACCATAGTTATAGGAAATGTAGAGTTGTATTTAGACACAACGCCATAAACTGAGAGAACGCCGCCTTCGTTTCAGTGGTCATTGCTGGAGGAGCAAGGGTGAAATGATTTCACAAATGCTCTTCTGCCAGCCTTCAAATGACAAACGTGCCAGAGGTTGAACAGCAGTTCAAAAAAGGATCAAAAGGATCTATTATCTATTAACTCATAGCCTGTCATGAGGCTGCATGCCTGCTATCGCTATGCTACCTATTGAGTGTCATGTGCGTGCAAGGGCGCTTTCGAAATAGCAGTTATTGTTCATGCTCATTGGACTGTGCTGTGTGTTTTGCACTCGCCATTCATAGAACCATTGCGTTAATCAGATTATCTCCAAAACAACCTGGCACGGGGGGATTTTGAGCTTGGCACACGCTAGGAACATGACGGACAAAGAAAAAGGACAAAATATACAGCTCCTCAGGTAGACAAAGGAACATCCCTTCACTGTTATTATGTAAAAATGTGTAGAACAGGTGAATATGCATGTGACACTTGTTCTACACATTTTTACATAATAGCAGTGAAGGGATGTTCCTTTGTCTACCTGAGGAACTGTATATTTTGTCCTCTCTCTTTGTCCGTCATGTTTAAAGTGACACTGTGGCATGAAAAGAGTTAAAACTGATATTCTAAGCAAATAGATGTCCCTTAATTTGGTACCTACGGCAAGCATTTATTATTTATAAGTTTTTCAATTGCATAGTATATCACAACGAAATTCTGGCTACTCGAAATTGAAATGTCGAAATATCCGCCTCTCTTTGCATAGAATATCAGTCACGGCGCTGGTCTACTATATAATGACGTAACGTCCGGGAAAGAGCATATTCACGTACCCGGATGTTCCATAGAAAGCATGTGCAAAGAGAAACGATTTTCTGCTTATTTTTGTTTTGTTTCAAAGGCTGAAAAGTCTAATAAATCATAAGTCTATGTACAATTCTTCACCTCCCCCTAATATTTCATAGTATTAATATTAATTCCCCTTTAAAAAGTATGACATATACATGCCAACGATGTGCTATTAGTCGACATTTCATCATGTAATTTTTGTTTTGGTGTTGAAATCGGCCCAGGCACGGGGTGAACAGTACCATACAGCGATCTCCTGATGGTTTCTACTTCCTTTTTCGCATGTCTTTCGCCTTCCTTGGCCCTGAAGATCCTTCATCTTCTTCCATGCTGTGCATTACGAAACCGGTAGTCAGGAGCAAGTCTTTGTTAGTTTTTTTTTTTTAGCTGGTAACGTCGCTTTCATTCTCTTGCAATTGCCGATAAATATATAACTAGCGCACGTACGTTCCATCACAAGCAAGCCGCGCCTAGAGCAGCGGCCTCGTCTTACCTCCCGATTCTGCTCTCATCACGAACGTTCATGCAAGAGCCGCATCACTCGCGGGTGAATATCGTTCGATCACTAGACGTTGTCAAAATATAGAGGAAGCGTGCTTGCATGATCTCGTTGAAGTTTGATATTTCACAACATAACATGTTTAACTTGTACTGTATCCTTTTTTAAGGCAGTTACACACATCTAGGATAAGTACTATCATAGTTCCAGGCCTATTTGTTTTACAAAACTGCTCCTAGTTATCTGATGACAAGATAATGCATCATTCCGCCTATTCATAAGTGAATTTGTTAACCTTGTTTCCCAAGCAGTTAGCTCGTCTTAAATCTCTACCAAAAAGGTGAATACGAGGATATAAAAAAGAAACCAGCGACTGAAAAATGTTGCTTCGATATTCTTCATTCAAATGAAAACAGAAAATCCATCAAATATACTCATTAACAACAACAAATCTAAGCTCTGACAGGATAGCATTTACGTAGGAATATCACTGCCATTCACTCTCACTGAGCCCATGAGTCCCGTTCGTGACGTCACGGATAGAGGCCCGACTCTACATGCACTTCCGGGTTTCAGACTTAGATAGTTTGGTAGAGTTTACTCGCATAAGTTCACCATTCTAAACTTGTTCTTGTCAGTTGGACACCATTTAGTGTTAATTTGGGGTTAACAACTTTCTATTGATGTAATTATCTCAATATTTGGGATTCTCTTAGAATATCAACTTTAAGGCCAGGCCACTCCTAAAGAACATTGAGACTAGAACTGAATGGAAATTGGGGAAGGTGGGGGGGGGGGGATACGCTTCATCTTTAGCAGTAGTCATTATTATCATTTTAATGTTTTTTTTGTATCTCTGCAGGTGTTGGCTTGTCAATGACCTTCATGCCCACAGTGATTGCACTGAACGATTTCTTCAGAGAAAAGTTTGTTTTGGTGAACACAATCACGTTGTACGGCTACACCGCTGGATCCATGCTGCTCCCCATTGTAATGGAAAGGTCATTCGAAGCTTATGGTTATGTAGGGGCGTTTATTATCCTTGGCGGTATCACTTTTAACCTTGTCGCTTGCGGTGCAACAATACGCAAGGCGCCAAGAAACGCAGCTGTAAATAAAGGCAAAAGTCATGTTAAGGTGAATGAGAAACGGAAGTGTCTCTTTGAAGGAGAATCCTCAAAACAAACAGAAAGCATCAGTTATCATAATGAGGAGGAGGAGGAAAATGAAATAAAGGAGGAGGAGGAGGAGCAAGAGGAAGAGAGTAGTGAAGATTGTGTCTTGGAGGAAAGGCATTTGATTCAAACCGAGAGACGTAACATAAGTAAGCAGGAAACATCACCGAATGATCGCTTATCTCGGAAAAGCTCCGTCTTTCAAACCGGCAAACGGTCATGTGGTTTATTAAACGAACCACTTTATCTCTTCACCATCCCGATTCATTTCTTGATAATTTTCTCCATTTATGCGTGGATGCTGTTTCTGGTCCCCCACGCTGAACACCTGGGAATCCCTCCTTCCAAAGCAGTCTTTCTCTCCACAATTGGCGGCATAGGTGGCATCATCAGTCGGACTATCTTCATTATCCTCGTCGACAAAGGCATCAATGTCTATGTCGTCTACATCGCTATAGGTCTCATCGGAACGGCATCATTTCTGCTGGACTTCATCAGTTCTGCTTACGCGGTGCGTGCTACCTTGGCTTTTGTCCAAGGTTTCTCCTTCTTCATCGAGGATGCTATTATGGCCACTTTATTCAAAGATGCAGTCTTTGATGATCGGAATTTTAACATGGCCGTGGCTGTCAGTCAATTGGCGCAAGGACTAGGGGCGATAAGTGCAGGAACATTTACAGGTGCGTAATTCATTGCCAATTTCTTCTTTTCGAACATGAAGAGCCTTTGACAAATCCATTTATCCAACACCCCATTGTATGTATTGACATTATAAATTATTTTTCGGGTTATGGACAGACAACATCAATTCTTGGATGGATTGCTTTTCAAAAGCGATAATCTGAAGACAGTAGTATAAATATCGATAAACATGTTTCTCAAGTTCAATGTCCTTGTCGCCCCACGGCATCTAAGTTATAGCTAGATCATTTAGTTAGGCCTATACCCACACATTTCAACAAAAACGACGCACGAGTCTAGTCTAATTACCTTACCTTGATTTTATAAAAGGTCTTGGTAAACATGCGATCAGATTGATATTTCTTAAAGGCCCACTGCACTACTTGTAGCTACTTGCGCCCTCTATATAACAAACAATGCCTAATCGGCGACCATTGGTCCCCATGATCCTCTTTTTCTTATGTTAACTGAGAGCTGAGTTGATGAGATAACCACCTGTCCAGTGACCTTGCAGGGCAGTCTAATCCCTCCTGTAAACTACGGCAGATAAGCTTTAAATCCATGTGTAGAAGAATTGTTCCGTCACTATTTTTCAGTCAACATGCAAATTGTATCGCGCTATGACTTTCGTGAGTTTTAGGTAACGAGATTTAGCTATCTATGGCACTTTATGCGTGTCATAGCTAGTTGAGAGAAAAGGTGTAGTCAGGCAATTCATGTAGCCTCGAACAGTTCGAACCCTTTAAGAAATATGTACCTGGGAGGAAACTTATGTATGTCTGCTTAGGTTATGGTCAAAACTGTGTCTTAGTATGCCTTGCAATTTTAACATAACAAATCATTGACAAATACTTATAATTCTGGTATGATCATTTCCTAGGTTACCTGTTTGATGTCACCCAGTCATTCACGAAGGTGTTCATCATTGTCGGCTTCATCCATGTCGTCATGGTCGTTCATCTCTTCATCGTATCGATCCTTATCAAGAGACGACGACAAGATGCCAGCTCTGATTTTGACCACTGAGGATTTAGAAGAGGCAGAAATGTACCCCCTATACCGAACAACCGAGTAATATCATGCCATTAGTTACTAATGGCTAATAGTAACGACTAACTGTTTTTCCCATGATTCTAAACTATCTATTTTGATTGCTTTTAGTATACATATTTAAAAGGATACTGGTTATTGGAAATGTATGAGTCGAGAGTATAACCTCTGATTACTTCCAAACTTTAACTCAGGGTTTCTATACCTGGCCATGTTATTGGAACATCTATGTTCCAATTTAAGAGTATGTATATGGACCGAGATGAATTTGACGAATTTGACGATTCACATGTAAGATACACATGTAGTTTACTAACCAAGCCAAAAATTGTTTCGCCTCATTAATAAATCGGATATAATGAGTAGGTAAACTGATTATGAAAAACCTTTTGTACGCACAGGTACAGCTAGTGCCGCTCCCTTCTTCATGCATGAGTTACCTATTTGCTTGACCGAAAAGTCGGGGCAAATTTACCAACCGCGTTGACAGGTACGATTGCATCTGAGAAAGGGCAGGGCAAGCGCCATTGGAACTGTGCGGGGTGTATTTTTTCTTTACACGACAGTCTGTGAATTTACGGTTTTAATTTCAATAAACGCGCTCGCCAAGAGTCTAGCTAGCTAGCTTACCCTACGCATGCGCACATGGTAATCATTAGAGATAGTGATAGAGTTATAATAATCATGCAAACCCTTTTATAAACCCATAGCTAGATCAATCGGGAAGGACAGTGTCATGCAATCTTGTTGGTTCGAATCTCAGTATTTATTCATTTCTATTTTTGGCCTTTATAAATGGTGAGACAAATCAATAACTAATTAAAGTCCAATTGTTTGTGTTCTCTTTTTAAGCTTTTGTAGCTAAACTAGATAGCTAGCTAGACTCTTCGTGAGCGCGTATATTGAAATTTAAGCCGTAAAATCACAGGCTGTCGTGTAAAAAAAAATACGCGTGCGGGGGGTAGCGGTTGTCAAGCTGATTTGTTATTGTAAATTTAGTTAACAGATGTATTTGTATAATTTAGTTAAGAATGAAAAAACGAAGACAAATATAGAAAGTATATAACTAATTATCAATTCAGAGAGAGAGAGAGAGGGGAAAATGATAATATTAAAGTCATTGGTAAAAGTAATCGATTATGACTATTATAAGGAAAGAGGAAGAAGAGACCGCGTTTTTGATGGGTCTTGTTGGTTGGGGCCAGTATTCATTCGCTGAGTTTATTTAGTCCCCCCTCCCCAAACTGAATCCTTTGTTTACTTTTATAAAATGAGTCAGGCACGGAGAATGTGTATCATGTATAATTTATGTTGGAAATACTTATTACTTTTAGTTAAACTGTATGTACATTATAGTAAGTAAGATTTTTTTTTTTTTTAAGTAGATGAATATGTATGGCCTTGGTCAAGAGTGAGGGGTGGATACTTGGAGATGATCATACAGAAGATGTCAGTAAGAGGAGGGTCAGGAAGTCTCGAGTGTAGGAGATAATTCCAGTGAATTTACTATATTTCCAAGGTATGTTAATATATACTCATATGTGATTTAGCATACGTTTGAAATTTTAAACAGTGACAATGTTTTGCCCATACATTGCACGCTAGCTGCACGCACAACAGATTTTTCTCCATGACTGCGAGTTCGCTGTGATATAGAATGTTTGACTCTTTGAATAGATACTTTTATTTTGTATATATAATGAGATGTGATATAGCAGTAGATTATCTAAAGGAATTCTGTCATTATATGAGAGGTATCTGTCTTATTATTCAAGTGGTTTTAGTATTTAATTGTGGAATTATACTGAGTAATTTAGTTAGAGGGTGCATAGTCGAAGCACATTGTTGCAAGTTAGTGTGGCTTTATTTCAGAGTTTGCATACTAAGCGGATGATGACTAGTCTATGTGTAGCTTTTGGTAAGAATCAGTTCGTTAGTATTGTAGGTCATATATTATTGATATTAACAACTTTGTTATATAATAATAATACCATCAATAGAGATACATTTTGGTCCGGTTTAGAAAAGGATATATTATCGCAGGAAGATTTAGCAAAATGACCATACTAGATAATTGATATGGTTTTAGGACACCTACCCCCTGGACATCCACCCCCGGATAACCACCCCAATCAACTACCCCCTAGGACGACTACCCCCTAAGACAACTTACCCTAGACAACTTCCCCTTAGGAAAACTTCCCCCTAGGACAACTACCCCCGAACAACTACCCCTAGCACAACTACCTCCCGGACAACTATCCTAGGGGAAGTTGTCCGGGGGTAGTTTTCCTATGGGGTAGTTGACCAGGAGGTAGTCGCCCTAGAGGGTGGTTGCCGTATGAGATGTATGTCCTAGGGCACGGGTGGCCAACCCGCGGCCGGCGAGTTCTTCTGGTGCGGCCCGTGGAGCATCGAATAAGTAATTATAAAAATAGCTCATGAATGAAATGCGGCCTGCCAGCAGCGATTAAGTAGAGTAAAACATATACACACAGCTACCTCTATGTCCATTATTTGTTTTCATCATTCACAACATATTGTCTCGTTAGTGGTTGATACAAAACTCCTCAAATTCTCTCTCATTACATTACACGACATGAACATCACTCGCCTTATTAATTTCAGTTTGAAATTTCCGCACGCAGTAACGTTTGTAAAATATACAAATGTTGTGAATGGAGACATATGTTTGGAATGCCATACTTGAAACTTACAACCCTTTTCTCCTGTCGTTGAGTTTTCTCATGAATCTTAATCAAAACTGGATAGTCCCCTTCTATTTACAACGCGTTCAATGAAGTGTGCAATGTACAACTAATACAGTTACGATATTCTTTCTGCTGTGCCCTTGATTGTGTTTGAAATAATAACCAACATGGCGTCGACTTCGAGACCTGCGAAGAAAAGGATATTTTCTGATGAAGGTAGAAACTTTAAATCGAATTGGTCTCTGAAGTATTTCTTCAATAAAGAGAAAGGTAAACCACTTTGCCTCAATTGAGTGTGAATGTAATGAAGGTTAATCACACGAAAAAAGTCAGCCTGATTTTTTTCACTAATTTTGTGGTTTGCTCTTTTTGTTTTTGAAAAGTTGCGGGTGTGTACATGTATTGCATGTGTGTGTGTGTGTGGGGGGGGGGGGGGGGTGGGGTTGAAGACTACCTACGGCCCGCCAAATTATGACAATCGTTAGCTGTGGCCCGCGAGCTTTAAATGGTTGGCGACCTGTGTCCTAGGGGGTAGTTGACTAGGGTGGTTATCCGGGGTCGATGTCCAGGATGTAGGTGTCCGGATACGAATTGATATGTGTGTCTGAAATTTTAGGCGGTCAGCAGTAAGAGACCTCTGTTGAGTGACTTCTAGCAGGTATGATTTGTTGAGTTTGATTACAGCTGGGGACACCCGAGGTATGATTTGGTCTGTTTGTAAATATGACGATTGAAGACAATGATCATATTGATTGTGAACGCGCCAATAAAGGAAACGTTGAAACAACTTGTTGTTCTTATTTCTCTTTATTCTGTTCTTTAGTAACAAGTCATCTTCAAGTCGCTCATCAATCAGCGAATCAGTGATTAGCTAATCAGCAATCCAGCAATTCCGTACTTAGCGAATCATCATCATTTAGCGATTCAGCAATCCAATTAGCGGTTCACTGTAAACAACAAAGTAACAAAGCATTATAAATATATGCATCATATAAACAAAATTAAATGCATGTAACCCTGTCTACTTTACAGTGAATCTTGTAAATACTCTTGACATATAAACGTGATGTTTATATACGAAATAAACTCCAAAAGGAATGTAACTATCCAGCTATACAGTGTATTCATTTATGTCTCTGCTTGATATATATATTTTCATAAATTCCTGTGCTTAGAATGTGCCTGTAATGCACGGTATTCTACAGATACGGCTTCATAATGCCCCCTTAATTAAGCAATTACAAGGTAGTCTATGTGATTCCAGACCCTATACAACTGACATCAATAATATTCCCTCAAAAAACGGTTCTACTCACTCCTTTTAATGATAATTAACCTCTTTTAACTCTTACAAGCTGTGCAAGTCGCTATAACATATCATACTTATTAAATCATGCACCATCTTAGAGCTTGTTTATATGAATAAACCCCTTTATGCAAGACACATACCTGGGTGCAATTGCAACCACTCATATTCAAAGTCTGAACTTGTGTACGTTCATTATACACACACATGTATCCCATCCGTAAGCACTTATACTTTACGTGCTTTAACAACATTACAAACTGGCGAACTTTGCCTAAATTAACATAAACCTATTTACACAATGAAATCATTGACCTGGCTAATTTAACAACAAACAATCATTCTTCATTTATCTTGTGTCAAACTCACCAACTATTTGCTCCTTCCGGAGAACTTTCCTTTCAAATATTGGTAACAATCAAGACGCCTTGTTTTCTTATACACGGTATTTGCTGCACAAATTATCCCTTCGCCGTAGATGGCGCTTCACATATATTCCTGACGCTGGGTAATTTTTGGTTTTATAGAGATCGCATATTTCCAAACACCTTGATAAGACACCAAGGAGTACAGCTAAATCTAACATCAGTTGTTGTTCTGGCTAAAAATTAGTTGGATGAGTCAGTCAGGATGGCTAAGTTATATTGATTATGTTGTATAAGTATAAAACAGTTTAATTCATGTTTAGTGTATTGATGTTAACAAATTACGATATAATAAGCATGTGTTCATGTGGTAGCTTCCATTTAATGTACCTTTAAATATGTTTATAAAATAAATTAAGGATTAAGCGATTAAGTGAGTCGGATAGCAGATTGTTCAAAACTGAGATGGTGCTTAGAATGTGCCTGTAATGCACGGTATTCTACAGATACGGCTTCATAATGCCCCCTTAATTAAGCAATTACAAGGTAGTCTATGTGATTCCAGACCCTATACAACTGACATCAATAATATTTCCTCAAAAAACGGTTCTACTCACTCCTTTTAATGGTAATTAACCTCTTTTAACTCTTACAAGCTGTGCAAGTCGCTATAACAGTGGCGGATCCAGGGGGGGGGGGGCCCGGGGGCCCGGCCCCCCCCCCCCCTTGAGAAAAAAATCATGTAAAATCACGCGATTTTTACCTTTTTGGGGGGTTGGGCCCCCCCCTGGCGCTCAAGGGGGGGGGGGTGCAAATTGAATTTTTTGAGGATCAAAAAAAAAAATGTGCACCACCCCCCCCCCCCCCCCCCCCCCCCCCCCCCCCCCCCCCCCCCCCCCCCCCCCCCCCCCCCCCCCCCCCCCCCCCCCCCCCCCCCCCCCCCCCCCCCCCCCCCCCCCCCCCCCCCCCCCCCCCCCCCCCCCCACTGAGCGAGTTTTTGGCCGGCGCGTTTTTCAAATTTTCGGGAGCAAAAAAAAAAAAAAAAAAAAAAAAAAAAAAAAATTGTGCTCTGTACCAGCCCACCCCCCCCCCCCCCCACTGAGCGACTTTTCGGCCGGCGCGATTTTCAAATTTTCGGGAGCAAAAAAAAAAAAAAGTTGGGCCCCCTCCCCTAAGAAATCCTGGATCCGCGCCTGCGCTATAACATATCATACTTATTAAATCATGCACCATCTTAGAGCTTGTTTATATGAATAAACCCCTTTATGCAAGACACATACCTGGGTGCAATTGCAACCACTCATATTCAAAGTCTGAACTTGTGTACGTTCATTATACACACACATGTATCCCATCCGTAAGCACTTATACTTTACGTGCTTTAACAACATTACAAACTGGCGAACTTTGCCTAAATTAACATAAACCTATTTACACAATGAAATCATTGACCTGGCTAATTTAACAACAAACAATCATTCTTCATTTATCTTGTGTCAAACTCACCAACTATTTGCTCCTTCCGGAGAACTTTCCTTTCAAATATTGGTAACAATCAAGACGCCTTGTTTTCTTATACACGGTATTTGCTGCACAAATTATCCCTTCGCCGTAGATGGCGCTTCACATATATTCCTGACGCTGGGTAATTTTTGGTTTTATAGAGATCGCATATTTCCAAACACCTTGATAAGACACCAAGGAGTACAGCTAAATCTAACATCAGTTGTTGTTCTGGCTAAAAATTAGTTGGATGAGTCAGTCAGGATGGCTAAGTTATATTGATTATGTTGTATAAGTATAAAACAGTTTAATTCATGTTTAGTGTATTGATGTTAACAAATTACGATATAATAAGCATGTGTTCATGTGGTAGCTTCCATTTAATGTACCTTTAAATATGTTTATAAAATAAATTAAGGATTAAGCGATTAAGTGAGTCGGATAGCAGATTGTTCAAAACTGAGATGGTGTGTGCATGTTTGTTTACATGTGTTGATATATTGGTTGAACATATCGAACTTCAAAGAGGTTGATACAATCAATATAAGATGGTTCGATCATAATGGAGATAATAACTTACATTCACGATCAATGATCATTTTCTTACGGTGCACTGTTTTCCCTTTTGTTTTGTACTTTGCATGGGTATTATTTTCTGTTTCTCATCTATTTTAAAATGCCATTTTTTCTCCTTGTATATATCAAATCACGACCCACCCTCCTCCTATGTATATAGCCTGATTGATAGTATGGGTTCTGACGAAGTGCCAGCCCCCCCCCCCCCCCCCCCCAAAAAAAAAAAAAAAAAAAAAAAAAAAAAAAAGGCTAGACCACAACAGCAACAGTAGTAGCAGAAGTATGGTAAGCAGATTTAGTAGTAATTACGATAATAATAATTATAATAGGTTTTCCCGGCCAATTTCGTCAAAGCAGCGATCAATTTCACTAACGTGCATTCATGTTCGAGCGAATTTTCTTCACTGTTCCCCTGTTTCATTTTAACACTTTTTGCATTCAATTTCGTTTCGAGTCATCGAATTTTCTAAAAATGCACATTCAAATTAAAGCTTGGTTCAGTCAATTTGGAAATGCGTAAGCGTCATTCAATTTCGCCAATGTTGAGTGGAAGGAGAATTCTTTGGCGAATTGCGGTTTCATTTTCGTTTATGGGCAACCTCTTTCGCAATCGGGTCATTCAAATTAAAACTAGACCTCATAATCATTGGATAATGGCCCGGTCCCACTGGCCAACGGACACAAAAAGTATGCATAAAGGACACAGCGGACGAGCAAAATTTCGGAGGTGGCTCCATCCGTTTTCATCCGCTCCAGAAATGGACAAAATTTGCGAAAATTTGCGAAAACAGAACGGAAAATAACGGACGTAGGTAGTATGTAACGGGGATGTTAAACGGATGTTCATCGGAAGCCTAGCGGATGAAAGCGGATGGTGGATGACAGCTTTGAATACTTTATATACGAGATGCATACGCTTACATCCTTTCTATTTTCGTGCTACTAACGATGTATATACGTTCCATGTACCTGATCTTTCCTCCCTCTTTCCGTTTTCAGCTGCAGCGGATGTGAGTTGTGAGGATGCCCAGAGGATGCAGAGAGGATCAGCGGACGTTTAACGAATGATGACAGACATAAAACGTTTGTTGCTCGTATTTGTCGCGGATTTACATCTTACACGGCGGAAGTTCATCCGTTCTAAAAGTTTTGTGCAGCTCAAAACTTTTTGCGCGAATGAAATCTCAGTGGACGGATGCTCGACGGATAGAGCGTATGCAATACGTATGCAATGAGTACAGAACGGATGCATAACGTTTTCCAACGGATGGCAATATTGTTTTACGTTTTACATCCTCTTTGCATCCGTAAGTGCAGTGGGACCGGGCCTTGAGGCTCGATTTTTATTCGGATATTCACTTTTTCATGTTCATTTTGTTTCTTCTATGATCTTTTCTGAAATGATTTCACATTATACTACAATCTCCTTATTTGTCCGATATATTTATATTGCATTTAATGTTTTCTCTTTCTTTCGATCTTTATTTTTGTTGAACCATTTCTTAATACATGTTATTTTTGTAATGGTTTGTGTTGATTAATCTTGATTGAGTAGGTGATCTTTCATTCTTTTTATTTTACGTCTTTTTATTTATTGAACATTTTATTTTGTTTCCATCATGTCCATGTCTAAAGTTCAACTGTACCGCTGTCCAGGATCTGTGTATATATAGCTTGTGCTTAGAAGAGTAGTCACAAATTGTGCACCTTCTCTGGGAACAGTTACCTGTGTAATGACAGATATCTGCTAACAAATACACAGGTCATTCCTAAAAGTAAACTTATAGCATTACATTATTCAAACAGATTGAAGTATATTAAGTGACAAATTAACATCAAATGAAAATATCAATATGGAAATCGATGAAATATCTACCTTTTTATCTAAATTAACACTAGTAAATAGTCGTATGCATATAAACAACTTGGCAGGAACCTAACAAAGAAACCGACATTCGGGCTACAGTCGGTTTCAAAGTAAAAAGCATTATGCCTCTATTGCCAAAATTGACGATGAACTTGCAATATCAAAAGCATGCAAGCACATGTCAATATAAAGAGGATGCATGAATGACTGTGAAACAAATGATGTGCACTACTGGCTTCATCATTTCATATGTAAGGCCCCATTTATTCAAAATTGAATCGTTTGTTTACGACTGCATTGAAACAAAAATCGAAGGATTTATCGGAATTTCAAATGACGACTATACAGAAAGAGATGCATGAATGCCTATGGGACAAAATAATGATGTGCAGTATCATTCCCTATGCAAGATCTCGGAGCACGCCATTGTCACGTACGCACATTTTAATAGATTACCCAGGGAGCAAAACAGATTTGTGTGCCATGAAATGTTCAATTCCATTCAACCGATATAATCTTTTTGTCCATTACTCGACCAAAACATGAGAAAAGTCATACGTACAATGAACTTCAAATGACATTTGCAATACAACATATGAAATGAGACTTGTTCGTAATTACGCAATCTTATTTTTTTACACGTATTAAAATCATCAAATGATATAAAATATACAGGTCTAAGTATATCAGTATACCCCGGGAAAAATAGATTTGTGTGACATGGTTTGTTCAATTAAATTCAACTAAAATTATTTTATTTCCATTACTCAATCAAAACATAAGAAAATATTTACATCAAATGAACATCAAATGACACTTGCAATACAATTTATGAAATTAAAATTGTTCGTAATTACGCAATCTTACTTGTTAACACTTAATAAAATCATTAACGGATGCAATTTATATATATATAAGCATATCATAACTTAAGTCTAATTTAAATGAAAAGAGAAATGCAATTAAAAAGCAGAGTTTGTTTTTCCGTGGATTACAAGAAGAAAAAAAAAACGTATTTGATTAGTATATACATTAAAAAAGACAAATGCGACTGCGTGTCCTATATGCCTCCGCCCTAAATTCAGTATAATAAATGGATGAAATTACTCGTGATATATCACATTGCAAACAAACTCCTAAGCTTAGTAATCAAATGCCAATTGATGACTATGATCTTAACCTACTAGCCTCAATATGGAATTGGATCATTTTTCCATAGTAATACTGTTATCATATTTGAAGCTCAAACCTCAAGAAGTTCTTGACATATTGTGCTAATGAGGGTTATACATCATCAACACTTCATGACCTTTGACCCTTGACCTCTATGCGTTTCACGGAAAACAAATTGACAGTCAGTGAACACAAGGTGGAGCTGTAATCATTTATATTCTGGTTCATGTCTATACCTGTGAAATACTTGTTAGTAATGAAATAGGTGAAATATTGGTAACATTATTTTGTTTACACTCTTTGAAAACGGTGTGACCTTTGCTATTTTTAGGCACACAGGCACACAGCCGCTACAAAGGGATACATTAATAATAAGTATAAACTACGAGGTCGATAACTAAGAAATTATATTCTTTAAAACATTGAAGGAAAAAAAATTCCTCGTCATAGCTAATTATTTAATAATTTGAAAATTCAACAACATTGACAATAATAAGAGGATTTGTAAAATGAATATACAAACATTGAACAGCAATAATAACATTAAGAAGATCTAAATACGTAATTTGGTTTTGTCTTTAAGAAATGATATCTTGGTGGGAAGGGGAAAACATGAGTTGTGGTTAGGATTACCTAAAAAGTCGTGAAATTCTGTTCTAATTATTTTCCCAATAGAGGAAAAATAGTTACAAAGTGTTTCAGCTATATCATTACAGTTATCGCAAGTTTCATTTCCTCCACTTAATCGTTGACGGGATGGCGCCAAGCCGCGCCCAGGTACCAAATTAACATGAAAATTACTCCACCCGACCTTAATGGCCAAATCAGCTAGGCCACTGCTATGTCAGGCGGCCAGTCACGAGGCACGTCATATTCCAATCTGTTGCGTATTACTGAGAAAAACGAATGTGTAAATTATTCAGTAATAGATTTGATGAAGTCTTATTGGTCATAATTTTTCCAAAAAGAGAATGAATTAATGACGACCAATTTTTGTATTGTATAAACCATAATAAATCACAAGTGTTTACCTTGACAAAATTTTCTAAAAATATGACAGAGTGAGAAACCTTTAGTATAAGTTTGAAAGGAATGTTGAGGGTAAACTCCTAAGTTAAACAAAGCCTTTATCCAGGGCCACTTTCAATGTGCATACCCCAAAATTAACGAATAAATGTTCTAGATTCATGGGAATACAGTTAGCTATTATAAATCATTACTTACCAACCACTAAGCCGCGCCCAGGCACAAGGTCAACATGATGATACCTTGACAGACCTGAACCCAAAGAAAATCTGGCCACTACTGTGTCAGGCAAACAGCCAGTCACGATCTGTTCCGAACTTCTTTCCTTTTTCCCGTTAAAGGTATTAATAAGTCGTCTAAATAAAACCAAGGTTTAAATACAAAATGCTCCAAAAACTTGGCGAAGTATAGAAACCCTGAGTAAAAGTTTTGAAGTAATCAGAAGGTAAACTCCTGAATCATACATGACCAATAACCAGTATCATGTTACATTTGTATACTAATAACAATAACAACAGATAGTCTAAAAAATTCATGGACACACAGTTAGTTATTACTATTAGCCCTTATTATAAGATGATGACGTGAGTCCTAATTAAACGATTGGTTAAAAGCGTACACTTGACCAGGCATTTATTTTGCCTAACGCGTAATTTGGATAATGACCGGTCACTATCCACTTCTAATGACCGATCATTAGTAAAATCATAGTCTAAATCATGGAAATACAGTTATACTGATGTGTATTATTTGTATACTAATAGCCATTAGTAACCAATGTCATGAAAGCAATAGGTTGGTCGGTATTAACGTCTTCAGGGCACCTCCCTGAAAGATTTCAAAAGGAAGGAGGATATGGGGAAGTTTCTGCTTCAACCTCAGCGATCACAACCACAACTGCTATCTTGTCGTCGTCTCTTGATGAGGATTGATACGATGAAGAGATGAACGACCATGACGGCGTGGATGAAGCCAACGATGATGAACACCTTCGTGAATGACTGGGTGACATCAAACAGATAACCTTGGGAATAATCATACCAGAATTATAAGTATTTTTCAATGATTTGTAATGTTAACATTGCAAACTGTACCAAGACACAGTTTGGGCCATAGCCTCTTAAAAGTTTTCTCCCAAGTAGATTTTGTTAAAGAATTGCCTGACTAAGCAGGAGCAACTTCCATAGACGCATCTTTCTCTCTCAACTAGCTATGACTCGTATACAGAAGCGCAGTCGATAGCTAACTCTCGTCACCTTACACTCACGTAAGTCTTTGCCTGTTGACTGATTATGACTGAATACTGCTACTAAACATGGATTTATGAAATATCAATCTGATCACAAGATTACCAAGGCCTTCGAGAAAATCAAGCTAAGGCAATTTAAAGTAGACCCATGTGTCATCTTTTAAAATGTGTGTGTATAGGCCTGACTAGATGATATATCTATGTCTCCTAAAGGTAAAGACCAGTATTGGAAAAGCCCCAATTTCAAAAAATAAAATGGAAGCTCTTTATTACCAATCATGTGAAAGAATATGTTTTGACTAATACATGATGATAATAATTTTGCCGGGAAACCGCTTCTAATTGATATATTTGGAAAATTAGTTTATATATTGGACTGTGAGAGATACACGCACGTGTCGCGCACGTTTGCGTACCCTTGTAAAAAAGTACTGAAAGTACTGCTGTATTACTGCAGTAGTACTGCAGTACTTGTAGTTTATACGTGGTACGTGTAGTACATATGGTATTACTGCAGTAATACTGCGGTACTACTGCAGTAATACCGCAGTAGTACTGCAGTATCTGTAGTACGTATGTGGTACTTGTAGTACCTGTGGTATTACTGCAGTACTACTGCGGTACTACTGCAGTAATATTGCAGTAGTACTGCAGTACCTGTAGTACATGTGTGGTACTTGTAGTACCTGTGGTATTACTGCATTATTACTATTGACTATTGCACATTTTGCGGTACCCATGGTACTACTGCAGTACTACTACTGTACTGCCGTAGTACTCGCAGTACAATCTGCGGTACCCATGGTACTACTGCAGTCCTACTGCAGTAATACCGTAGTACAATCTGCGGTATATACCCATGGTATACTCTTTTTAACCCATGAATAAGTAGTTTGATAACTATAGATTCTACATATTCCTTGCTTTTTTTCCCTATTCTTTTCGACTTTTGAGATGCCGTCCTATTTTGTTTATTATGTTTGTGGATTTAGATTTTTCTGACCCATTTTTTTACTTATGTTTCTGGACTTTTGAACTAGTTTTTTAGTCTTTCATTATTTTCTGGCTATTTACCTTATATTATCAATACTTATTTACAATTTATTAGATTTTTGCTAGTTGCCTTTCATTTCTAATACTTTTGGGGCTTTCTTCCACTAGCTGTATTTGATATATATACTTTAAGAAATCATTTACCAACATTTGTTTGTCAATATATCATAACAAACTAGAGGTTGATGAAGAGTGCAAATTTACAAACAGTGAACGAAAAAGAAAACAAAAATGAAAGGCATAAATATTATCAAAAAAATGAAACACGCGCCTATAGTACCCCAAAACAACAGCATGTAACAACTACTTTTAAGTTTGTTTGTCATTTTGTTGGCTCCTTTCCATTTCCTTTATTGATGTACCATCATTCTGCTGTAATTAGTTATTTATTCCTTACTTCCGTCATTTTGTAGCTATATTTCTGGCATTTCTAATATTTAATTTTGTCTAGGTCTTTCCATTTTATATTTGTGTAATTTCTTTCAATTTTTGTAATACTTCTACATGATATTGATAGATGTTGTTTTGCGGGGAGGGGGTGGTCATAAATTACACTCTTTTAGAGACCCCTTCAAAACAATCTACCTAAACTGTTCAAAACCCAGGAAATTAGCCAGGAAATAATGTTTCGATGGTTGCCCACCATCAATTTATGTTTGTTTTTAAACATTCAGTAGTATTAAAAGAAATTCAACAAATTAATATTCAAAGTATGTCTTTCTGTGTAAATACAAATGAGTTCAAAGATGATTCGAACAAATTACTGGCCCTCCATCCATGTTCGTTGATTTAACATGGCGAAGAGAAAGTACGCATGCGCGGTCACGGCGGAGGAAATATTAATATTCATGATAGGAGGGGGGTTTTCGGCCACTTAAGACAAAATCCTATTTTTAGGACTCTTTACTTCCTATTATCATTTCTTGTTCAAATCATGAAGCAAATGTTATTATTCAAACAATCAAAGAATCCCAGAAAAAAAATCATAAATTGCCATGACAATATCCATTTCAATTTTCACTGTTTTGGAGACAGTTATTGACCTAGCGAGACAGTTTTCGGTCGTATGTACAATGTCAATAGGAAGCGCGCCCGCGTCGTGCGTTTCCCCGCTGGTCTATAGCACTAGCGGGCGGAGCAGGTATCCCGAGCCGGAGATCGCCATGCCAAAAACTAGTTCTTCGGTGATCGGAAATAGGAATCTGAATTAGAAAGAGATATCGTGTGTGCGTTGCGGTGTCCGGCTGCATTGATTTTATACATGCGATGATATACTTTTGAGCTTGCGACTCACACAAAATCGTGCTCTAAATATGAAAAAAAAAATGTACTTAAAATAAAGCTCATTTTATGGTTATAATAATAATAATAATAATAATAATAATAATAATAATAATAATAATAATAATAACATTTAATTTTCATATAGCGCTTAATACAAATGTCTCTAAGCGCTTTACAAATATACTACCCATATTTTTTACAGACAAGCGTAAGATACTCGATTTTATGATGTGACGTATACTCCTCTGTCTGTGTTGTAAGGACCCTACGTCACAAATAATGTCGCGCAATGCATTGTGAGGGGAACCGACTCGATCATTCACTTGATTTTTGCTCATGAAAGCCTTACTGCACTACTTGTAGCTACTTGCTCCCTCTATATAGAAAACTTCCCCAATCGGTGCCTGTTGGTTCCCCATGATCCTCTTTTTCTTATGTTATTTGAGAGCCGAGTTGATGAGATAGCCACCTGTCAGTGATCTCGCGGTGTGGTCTAATCCCTAGTGGCCAAACTACTACAGATGGCCTTTTAACAAAATTATTAAAAATATGTCTGAGGACCATTTTCCAAAACCAAGTTATTTTGGGGCTGCATGGATCTCTGTCTATCTAATCGATCCAACTTTTCAGTAGAGTGGACTTGTACTTTAACACTTATTAAAGTAAGGCTGTGCATACCCGGGTAATGAGGTACTCGAGTATACTCCCAGTCTTACAGTCGAATACTCGGACACCATATTCTTTTGGGTTGATTTTTTTTGATATTTTGTTCCTTTTTAATTAATAATAATTCATCAATACAAAATTTATAGATTTTTTTTTTAGAATATTTATTTTTGTCATGACATCTCATTAAAACTTGCCAGATAGCCTTGCTACTGGTAAGACGCAGCACTTTATAGTCATCTTTAAGCTGTTCAATAATGGTTCACATTTATTTGCCAGTTTTACCAGTATTTTATCAGGAAAAATATAAAAATGCCTGTTTTCGTGTTAGGAATATCTTTCATTAAGATTAGATATACATTATAATAATTTGGTTTACACAACTGATATGTGAATGTATACATGTATATGCCCCAAAATTTGCCAGCGTTTGAGACTTTCCATCTATTTAGGTATTCATGTTTAGAGAGGAGGTTGAGTTCTAGGAAGAGGTGAGAAAAAATAATTGTGAGCTTTATCATAGTATTATGCAAGTGTAAAAAAACATCAGATAAAAATGTTCCCTGAAAAGCATGGATCTTCAAATGCCTTAATATTCTAAACATGGCATGTAACATTATAAATTGACGTTCGATTTTTACGCCACATGTTCATGTAGTCCCATATTCACATCTTTCTGTGTACAGTGCTTGTAATTTTACGAAGACTGGGCCAAATTTCTTATAATTTCGATGATTCCAGAACCTTGCAGTACACACTAATACTTATATATGCTAGATGATCAACCTGTCCTGATCGATTCCACAGCGTTTCTTTCACAATGCAATCGCATGACCAGAACTTAACTTAATTTTTAAGCTGTTCAATATTGGTTCACATATATCTGCCAGTTTCACCAGTTTTAAATTACATTGTTTATTGTGCTCTTCAAACAAAAGCTGATGGAAGACCGAAGAAGATTGTTTTCACGTTACAATTTTTTTCTTCTATTAAATGTGAAAATATTTAATATCGAGTTATTTACTCATCCGTTTACTTGCCGATGCCAAAAATTTTGCTAAAATGTATTCACTTTGTGTCATCTTTCATTGTGCTAAAACTAACTTGTGTTCAAGAAAATATATATTTGCCCCAATTAATTTGTAAGTAAGAGTACCGGTAGTAAGATTCCACTTGCCTGGTTAAAACGTCATCTTTAGTAAGTTTCCTCTTTACCATCGGATGAATTAGTTATATGTTACATTCTTTTATATATAACCTAGCTAAAATAGTCTATTTTTGTTTAAAATGTGAGATTCAGGATTTTGGTATTTCCTAATGAGGGTATCTTAAACCCTCTGCGTAATTTTAAGCGTCATAAATCATGTCTACATGTAAATATAATATTGTTTCAATCCAATGAAATTGATAATTTTACAGCGTTTCAATAGAAGCTGTTCTTTGTAGTGGCTCATTTTCTCCCTGACTTTGACCTCAAATCTGATTCAGCAATGTTCTAAATCTGACATTTTTAGCTCTGACATTTTTACCTCTGACATTTTTTCCTCTGACATTTTTACCTCTGACATTTTTTCCTCTGACATTTTTACCTCTGACATTTTTTTCCTCTGACATTTTTACCTCTGACATTTTTACCTCTGACATTTTTTCCTCTGACATTTTTACCTGGCACCGTGAAAACAGTACCTAGAACAACTTCCATACAATTTGTATTAATGTACACAATTTTTAAATGTTTAGATATTTCCTGGGGGACATTCAGGTTGTTATGA